TGTGGGACCAAGTGCTAGGCTCAGGAAATTCAAGAGTCAAAGTCAACTGTCAAGTCAAAGGTACCACGCCAGGCCCTTGGTTGGATACATCCACTTGTTGTGCGCAGGTACCAAGACATGCATCCAGGCCGAAGAGGATACAGTTTCAGATCAATCCAGACCCTTACCGGTGTTGAGATCTGAACGGCTGGAGTCTGCAGCAGCCAGGGTCCAGACCCCGAGTCAACGCTACATAAACGTGGACTCCCTGGCTTTGAGATTCATTCATTCTGCCTTGAGTCCACGCTGACTCTATGTTGCAGAAGGCGACGCTGGCTTAATGCTGCGACGCTGGTTGGACGCTGGCATTTTGGCTGGCACTTCGAGAGACGACGGCGCTCTGCTTGTCCGGCATTGAGGCTGGCTGGCACTTGTCTTCTTGGCTTGCTGACGTGGCAGCTGCCACGCGCCGTTGCTGACGTGGCCGCTGCCACGTAGGCTGAGGTGGCAACATTATGTGACATGTATTGATGTTCTGTTCAGCCATCACTTCAGGGAGATATCAAGGCTGTTGTATCATCACTTCAGGAGGAGATCGGGACTGTGAGGAGGTTGTGATACGTACCTGGATTCTTCATGTTGACGAGGCTCCAGCGCTGATTATGGTCTGATAAGGTGCCACGTGGCACATTGTGACAAGACTTTGATATGTGTTCAGATTACTGGTTACTGTAGGTGGCGATAAAGGAAGGATCCCGGAGAAGGAGTGGGCATTGTGACTTCTTCCCCCTTGTCTTTCCTCCCTCCTTCCTCTTTGTCTGTGTATGATCATCTCAACTCTCTATTTCTGGGTACTGTTTGATTATTGGAACAATCAGCGGCTCGATAATCTGGACTTGCAATGTCAACAATCGTATTCATGACTTGGGTTCATTGCAGTTAAGGCAGTTTCTATTTTGTCCTTGTCGCAGAGTAGAACTTGGCTCCATCTTGTTGTAGCTACTTCCAGTGGCGTGCGTCCAGTCCACTGGGCTTCATATCCCTGTGCCACTGTATAAAAGGGTAGTGCCGATCCTCCCCTTCTTGTCCTTTTCCCTTCCAACCCCACAATTTAGGATCCAGTTTTAGCTCCGAAATGGTAGCTCCGAATGCATGTACTTTGCAGATCCAGTTACCATCGTCATCACACGTCTCCCACACCCTTACCTGTGACAGCCTTGCTGTTAGCGGGGGCTGGGAAGACTCATCTACCTGCACAAGGGGATCCGGTTTCACCAAGTTGGCTCCCTCCCAACACTGAAACTCTCTTTTGCCCGAGGGGGCGATCCCCACAAGTTTCCAGAAGACAGGAGGTTCTTCTGGGGACTGAGCAATGAACCACGTACCAGGAGGATCAACGTCTTCCGGGCTGAGCGTAAGTTTCCATTGTTCCGGGATAGCATTAATGAGTTCAGTCAGACGTTCCTCCACATACCAGAGCTGACCCAAAATCCCCCTAATAGTTGTGGGCGGGACCCATTGATTTTCCACTGTGTTCCAAATATCTGCAATTCGCAGCACCCCCTTTTCTATCCATCTTCTCCCAAAACTGTTGCGAGAAGTGTCTGCAGCAAACCAGTTGCCATCCGATTTGTGAATGCGTGGATTCTCAAACAGAAACTGAAAAAGGATCTCAGCCTTGGTTACTGGTTGCAGCCAAGAATTTGGCTTCAAGAGTCGCCAAGCAAATAGCACTGCTTCCAAAAGTCTGATTTAATCACACGGTTCTGATATGACTTCAATAATAAACAAGTCCAAACATCGGAGGGTCTTTGAAGGTTCCATTCTAAGGCAAGAATAGCTTCAGCCATACATATACAGTGTGCCTCCTCCGAGGTACAAAAGGCCTTGATAGCCCACTGGACAAGCATAGCTATGCTTTTCCGTTGGGGATCAATCAGCCCTAGTCCTCCTTCCAGATTTGGAAAACAGAGTAATTCCCATGCAACTTTCAACATAAAGCCTTCGTTATCCCCAGCGAAAGGTTTTCATATAAAATTAGCGGCTCTCCTACGGATCAAACCACACAGTTGTTTTCCTAAAGGTCTGATAGTAGCCACAAACCAGAGCAAGGCAAAAAGGGCACAGTTAACCACCATTACCCTGTCGTAAATAGACAAGTGAGGGGCTTTGCCCCACACGGATACCCTCTGCAATGTGCGCTGTAACAGGATGCCCTCTTGATCTATTGTACAGGAAAGCAGGGAAACCTGCACTCCCATAAAGCGTTCAGAGCTACCAGACTTTATACGTTTCATGCCCCAGTTCACCGAAGGAGAGAAGGAGCTATGAAGAAAGAAAACAAATTTAGACCAATTAATTGATGCTTTCGATAGAGTCGAGTATTCATCTAAGCAGCCCTTCAAGGCATTAATCGAGGAAACCGAATTCTCAGAAATAGCAAACAGGTCGTCTGCAAGGGCCTTCACCTTGCATTGCAACTGACCTATATAAAGCCCCTTAATCCGAGGGTGGCCCCGAATATTGCATAGCAAATTTTCCATCTGCACCACAAATAGAAGGGGAGCCAGGGGACAACCTTGGCGCTGTGACCTAGTCAGTGAGAAAGACTCTGAGATATTGTCATTGACCATAACAGAAGTTGTGGATTGAGAGTATAACGCCACCACCCAATTGCAGATGTTTTCCCCAAAGCCTACGTGTCTCAGGGTTGTCAGAACATAGGTCCAATTGACATGATCGTAGGCCTTTTCTAAATCCAACATCAGGACTGAGACATCAACATTGTGCTTCAATGGCCGTTACAATATTATCAAATATTGAACGGCCTTGCATGAATGCTGCTTGGTCGTTGGCAATCAAGGAATGTAAATACCGACCTAAGCGTCTGGCCAAAATTTTCGCTAGTAATTTATATGACACATTAAGGACTGAAATTGGCCGCCAATTCCTTATCTCAGATCGATCCCCCTTCTTGTATAGGAGCGAAATGATACCATTCCTCATACCTTTCGATAGGTTTCCTCCCAGTAGTACCTGGTTATAAATGTCCACTAAGCTCTCCTTAACAGAGTCTCAAATGATCAAGTAGACCTCTACTGGCAACCCGTCATCGCTATGGGCTTTCCCCTTAGCTATGGAGTTCAGTGCTTCCCATGCCTCCTCTACTGTTACTGGCTGATCTAAATTTAGTCTCCATTGTGTTGACAATCTGGGTGAAAAATGAGACCAATGACCAGAGTCTTTCGAAAGATCGGTGGTGATATCCTCGTCTGGACGCCTTGTTGTGAGGATGTCCTGATAATACATGGCAACATATTCGCATAGTTGAGACTGTTCCCTAGTGGTCGACAGATCGTGACGGAACGGGTACATGAGCTCACTCATGGAGTGAACTAAACGCTTTGGTAGCAGTTTCAGGAAGGATTCTCTAGTCATACGGTCGTAAACGACCACACCTTTAACTTTCAACCGCTCCGACATGATGTTTGACTGTTCTTGCTGATAGTCATCCCACTCAGCCATGCGCTTTTCCCTGATAGGACTCCAAACTAGGTTAGGAATTGGATGAGAAATCATCCGATGTTCTGCTATTCGATCTTTCGTACTAAAGATGACTCCTGTTTTTTTCTCCTTGCAGCTAATATACGTGAAAAAATACTCAGGTGCTTAGAGAAGATTCGGGATCCAGCATCCCACCAAGCATCCTTGGTAGTGAAGGATTCCAAGTTATGTTCCCAACCTTCCCAGAATCTGGTCATCCAGTCCTTGATATCGGAATCTTGTAGTATCTGAGTATTAACTCTGCAATAACCAGATCCTCTTTCCAACTTACAGGAGTTAAGGGTAGCGATGACTGATTTGTGATCAGAGAGGGTCTGAGTATCTGTATTTAGATTGACCGTGGCATGCCATGCCGCATTTGAGAGGAAAAAATAATCAAGTCTTTTGCAAATACTCCCTTCACCCTCCCGGGTATTGGAGAACCAGGGTGGAGTAGATTGTAGGGTTCCGATAAGTCTAGTTCCGACATTACCTCTGTCAAAACTTTCACATCGCTGCTACCACGTACTTTATCCAAACAATCCAGGGAAGTATTCCAGTCCCCGGAAATAACAAGGTTCACACAGTCAGGAATAAGCAGCGGTAAGTCTGAAAAGAAGGATTTTCGTTCATTGCAATCGTTAGGTGCGTAGATAGAGACTATTACCCAGTCTTGGCCATTAAGGCCAGATTTTAACCCACGCCCATCTTCCCCATAGATCGGCGAAGAAATCTACTATTTCTGCATCTAAATCTCGATGAATCAATATAGCAACTCCTCCTTTCGATCCCCTCGCTGGCGCCCATATCTGTGGGCCGTCCCACCATGCTCCTAATTCAATTATTCTCTCCTCGGACAATTTACTCTCCTGTAGACAAACCACATCAATCTTTTTTTCATGCATCCAACTCTTCAAGCGGCCTTCCTTGTTACGGCCCGACGAATCTCCTCAACCTCGAATGTTCCATGTTGTTATTCTAAGCCTGCCCATTCTGGGCAATTATCCCATTTGACTGGATCTGGGAAGGACCAGGGGCTGGGACAGTCTCAACTGGCCAGGGGTCAGTTAAGGCTCTCTTGAGAAATGGGGAGTCCAAAAATTCAGCAGATAAATTGGGGGAAAGCATGATACAACGCAAATCCGCCTTCCTGGCTTCCAGAAACCAGGTCAGCAGAATCAACTACAGTCCGCTTTGCTTCAACTGTTCCAATTGGCCAGGGAGAAATCAGACATCGAACAAAGGGCCAAAAAACTTACCCGTCTGCCATCGACATCCACGAGGAATCTCGGCATCGTGATCTCTGCAATAATACGAAATGAAAGTCTATTCTGGTGGTTTAAAATTGCACGACGATCCGATTCGAGCCATCGGCCCGGTAGGACCGCGGGCGACTTGGATGGTCGCGCCCATGAGCCATCGGCCCGGTAGGACCGTGGGTGGCCTGGATGGTCGCGCCCGTTGAAAAAAAAGGCCCGTCGTAAAAGAAGCACCCCTGCACCTGCTGGCCGCTTGCTAGCCATTCGCCCATTGCAGGGCGGCCCATTGGCCCGTTGTAGGGCCGCCACCGTGGGCGGCCTGGATGGTCGCGTCCTTTGAAAAGGAGGGCCCGCCGTAAAAGAATCGCCCCTGGGCCTGTTGGCCACCTTCTAGCCATTGGCCCGTTGCAGGGTGGCGCATTGGCCCGTTGCAGGGCGGCGCATTGGCCCGTTGCAGGGCCGCCACTTCCCGTCTGCCTCCTCCCACCACAATCTCCTCTCTCGCTTTCCTCCCTTCCTCCACCATCCGCCTCCTCCCATCATCTGCTCCCGCCATCACCTCTCCTCCTCCACCACCTCCCCCGCCTCCTCCCGACATCTCCTCTCTCGCTTTCCTCCCCGCCTCCACCACTTCTCCTCCACCTCCGCCACCTCCTGTCTGCCTCCTCCCGTCATCTCCTCCCGCCATCACCTCTCCACCTACGCCACCTCCCGTCCGCCTCCTCCCGCCATCTCCTCTCTCGCTTTCCGCCCTGCCTCCACCACTTCTCCTCCACCTCCTCCACCTCCACCACCTCCCGTTTGCCTCCTCCCGTCATCTCCTCCTGCCATCACCTCTCCGCCTTCGCCACCTCCCATCCACCTCCTCTCGCCATCTTCTCTCTCACTTTCCTCCCCGCCTCCACTTCTCCTCCACCTCCGCCACCTCCCATCTGCCTCCTCCCGTCATCTCCTCCCGTCATCTCCTCCCGCCATCACCTCTCCGCCTCCACCACCTCCCGTTCACCTCCTCCCACCATCTCCTGTCTGCCTATGCCACCTCCCATCCGCCTCCTCCCGCCATCTCCTCTCTGCCTCCGCCACTTCTCCTCCACCTTCGCTCCGGCCTCCATTCCACTACCCGCACATCCGCCATCCCTCTGCCCGCCCAAAAAAAAAAACAAAACGGTGCGCGCCCACCTCCCCACGACCAGCGCCGACCTCATGTCCACCTCCGCCCACCTCCCTCCCGCCATTGGGATCACCCACCTTCCTCCCGCCATTGGGATCGCCCACCTCCCTCCTGCCATTGGGATCGCCAATATCCCCTCGGCCTCCGCCCAACTCCCGTCCACCCCCGCCCGCCATCTCCTCTCTCTTTCCTCTCCGCCTCCACCACTTCTCCTCCGCCTCTGCTCACCTCCACTCTGGGAGACAGTAGACTGTCGGGGTTCAACCTCCTGATGAGTCGGTGAAAGTTCGACGAAACAGTCTGGCATGCACCTGTCGAGGTTCAACCTCCTGATGAGTCGGTGAAAGTTCGACAAAACAGTCTGGCACACACCTGCTTCCTTTGGTGGAGTTGTGTACAGCGAACATGGCACGAAACAGTCAGGCACACACCTGCTTCCTTTGGTGGAGTTGTGTACAGCGAACATGGCGACACACGCACGAACTAACGGGGGCACGCTCACACACACGCACGGAAAGAAAAGATAGATAGATAGACAGGTAGATAGATAGATAGATAGATAGAAAGAGAGAGAGAGAGAGAACCCCACCATAACCACGCTGTCTGATGAAGAAGACGAAAGATAAGGGACATGATTGACGAGGACAAGGTAAGTTGATAATGTCGACAATAAGAATATTGAGACACGGGAAGGGGACGCGTGCATCAATTGAGTGAAGGGAGTGGGTAAAGGGACACATGCTTTGCCGCGTGGGAAGGGTTTGGGGGAAAAAGGGTGGGGGGGTGCTTAAATCCTTTTTTTCGTTTTTTTATTTTGTGTGCTTGTGTGAAAGGAGTGGGTAAAGGGACACACACACACACACACACACACACAGAGAGAGAGAGAGAGAGAGAGAGAGAGAGAGAGAGAGAGAGAGAGAGAGAGAGAGAGAGAGAG